CTGGTGCCCGTGGGACGCATCCCCCACTCCCTTCCCAGCACACTAAGTCAGCCTCATTGCTCTCCTGCCCCTGGCCTGGTCCCACTTCCCACTTACCTTCCACCACCTCATCCTTTCTCCTGCACACCTGGCTCCTCTCTGTGCGCCTACACATGCGGAGCCCAAATCTTCATGTCACTTCCCCATCTAAAACTCTCTCTAGATCCATCATCCTTACAGGACAAGGTCTAGATGCTTACTCTAGACCACGAGGCCCTCACAGCCCAGCCTCTGCTTGCTGTTATTATTCACTCACTCACTGATTCATTGATTCACTCATTTTGCAGCACAGGCACCAAACCCAGGGCATCAGGGCAGAGTAGACCAGTCCCCCTTGAGCTGTGACCCCAGCCCCTCCACCTGCTTTCAACTCCACTCCACCCAGTAAACAGCCCTCTACCTTCCACACTGGGCTGTGTGCTTGATACCAGAGATTTGAAGTCAGAGGGACCCAGGCTTAGAGAACAGAGTGGTCAGTGGCACAATTCCTGGATACGAGGGCTTAGCAGGCACCGAGGAGGCCTTTGGAGACTCATGTCCAGATAGTGGAAATTTCACTGAGGCTATAGCTGTGTCCAGGCCTCTTTCTACTATGTGATACAGCCTGGTCAAAAGGTCTGTCTAGCCTATTAAAATGTAAGAAAAACAAAAGAAAGATGATACAAGGTAAACCATGGTAAAATGTAAAACCCACACAATTTACTAAATCACAGTGAAATGAGCTTCTACGAACACCACAGTCAGGAGACAGAAACCCAGGGGAGTAATTAGAAACTCCTGAGCCTGGCCTTGGTGCCAGCCTGTGGGACGCTGCCAGGCACAGAACACCAAGATAACTGATACACAGATGCTGACAGTATTAAGGGAAAAGGTTCCCATGACTCTTCATTCCAACGTCTGAAAAAGAAGTTACTTTTAAAACTCTTGATGAGGACCAGAGAGAAGGTCCAGCAGGTAAAGGCACCTGTCACCCAGTCTATAAGGTCAGTCCTGGGAGCCACATGGTGATAAAGCAAAACAAATTAAGAAAATGCTAGAAGCCAAGAGACTAAATTTGATAAACTAGTAAGTGATTTTGAAGAGAGTTCCAGAAGGAGTTAAGGAGGGTGTTGTGGCAAAATTAAGGCAGAGATGAAGGGCATAAGAAAGATCTAGTGTGCTGTTGTCTTCTGTGCGTCTTCAGTCCAACACAGAACCGTCCAAGCCCGTGGCCCATGTTTTCAAACTGCAACCTTTGATCATGTCAAGAAACCAATTGTAGGTCATTATGGTCACTTGTTTTTAAATGAAAGAGCCAAATCTAACAGAAAACATTAGGTTCCAGTTCTTGATGAATTTTACATGACACTGTGTGTTCATTAGCTAGCAATTAATTAGCATTTTCTATGGAGGGTTTGCTGCTGTGAAAAGTCCAGGAGGCTTTCATAAGAAAGTGTCCCATTTTTGGCAAATGCTAAGCCCACTCAGTTATGAATGCTGAACTTCTCCTCATTTGTAGATTCTGTACTAAAATTAAACAGAGGACGGGGGTAGGGGGTGGACTGTTAGAAGTGGAAAGACACCAAATGAGCAGGCTGCAAACGAGTGAACTCGTAACAAACAGCCAGAGAGCAAGAACACGGACAGCTGAGTGCCAGTGTTTTCCTACAGCCTCCCGCTCAGTCAGTAAAGAACCCTGACACGGTTCCCTTCCCTCAGTGCAGCTCTGGGCATGCAGCACTGCCCAGAAACTGCTCGTCCAGTGAGCCTCGAGAAGCATCTGTGCTTTCTGTGATGGTCACTGTGCAGAGACCCAGCTGGTATCAGTCCCTCCACATGCAGCAGCTCTTGAAGGCTGGGATAACAGCTGGTCCATCGCAATATCCCCACCCCATGGCAGTGCCTGTCCAACAAGTCTGGATGAGATTGAACTAACAGGCATCAGAAGGCAATGAAGACTGAGTTCCCAGATGCTCTGATGTTCACATCGTTTTACAAGACGAAACAGATTTCAGTTCATTAAGTAAAAAACATTCTGAAGAGGAATTTTTTTTAGAAGTCCAGACTTAGGTGTCCAGGGAGCAAACAGCTCAAAATCTCCTATGCCAACTGGTCCAAAGGACAGATTGGCTCAAAGGACTTGTCACATCCCTTTATAGAATAAGGGCCTCTTGGCAGGTTGCTTAGGATACTGAGCTTGGACCTAATTTTTGGACCCAATCTGACTCTTGGGGAACACTGAAGCGACTTTTTCTAGTTTGGACAACTTGAGAGCAGCGAACACCTTGAATTTAAAGCTGTTGAGCTACCTTAGAGGTCCAGCCACATTGCTAACTGGAGCAGGCAGGATGCCCAGAGGAGTGGATTTGGAGAAGCAGTGACCGGCCAAATCAACCAAGCCCTGGCTCCTTCCTCATAAGAAGCCCAGTGTGAGGGTAAAGGAGGAGAGGATGCACAGTGGTCATTTGCTGTTCTCGCCTCTCCTTAAGCCCATCATCCCTCCATACCTGAGTCTAGACATCCAAACCAAGTCTAACAGTGCGGTGTCTACAGTAGAGCACTAAGATGCCCCGATCATGAACATACAAGGTATATGGTCCTGGCCTCCAGGGTGGATTTCCTGGGAAGGCAAATGGTAAGTCATCTGTCGGGAAGTCAGTGAAAAATGCCTGACTCCAAAGGGTTAACTCAAGTCCCAATTCAAAGGATTTCCCAGCAGTCCCTAGTCACGGTCAGCGCCTTGACCATCACCACTGAGGAGCCTCCTTATCAAGGACGTGGATGAGTTTAAAGGTAGAGATAAGAGCTTTCCTTCAAACACTCAGTGTCTTGACCCTTCCTATGTCTGCCTTACACAATCCAATCTCACTTCTCTATGAGCAGGAAGCAAGGAGCAGAGCTGGTCTACAGAGCTCCATGGGCACTAAAGCACCTGGCAGACAGGGCAGACTCCATCCCCCACCCAGACTCTAGCCCTGTCTCACTCTCACCATCGAACAGCACATGATGCAGGACTGTAAACTGCACTTGAATTAACCTGAGCACAATGCAGTCAAGGGGGCAAGTTGGCCAGGGTCCCCAGGATCATGAAGAAAGCATTTCACATGCTCTAAAATCAGACAGGAGCAAATTAGGCTTTGAAAATATTCTCTGTCATTGTGACATTGTGGCACATACTTTTCATCCTAGCACTCAGAAGGCAGAGACAGGTGGATCTCTGAGATGGAGACCAGCCTGGTCTTAACAAGTTCCAGGCCAGCTGGGGCTAAAAGGAGACCCCCCCATCTCAAAATCATTTAATTCTCTGTCTCTACTTGGTCCATATCTTCATTCCAACTTCAGTGTAACTTAATCTCTCCCTACCTCAGCTTCCTTAGAAACCACAACTTGAACCTAAGATTCATATCCATAATGTCTAGGGATGGGGACAGTGTCCAGGGCCTGAGCAACTGTCGGTTACCCCTAAGGATTTCAGTTTCATGCAAGGCAGAAGTCAGCAGGGGTCTGAAGTCCGAAGGATGAGGGCGTGGGGCTCCACCAGTTGGGCAGGAGCAGATCCGAAGTCAGAAGACTCTGGGATGGGCTCTGCGTGTCTCGTCTGCCATGAAAACACTTCTTTAACCTCCCCGTACTTGAACTGTCTCACCTGAAAACTGGGATTACTAAAGCCCAGGATTACTCTATGGGTTAAACACGGAACCATACATACAACCATGGGCTCCAAGTAGATGCCCATAAATGGTGATTATGCTGGTGATGGTTTGTCCCCTCAGAGATGCGTCCAATGAAGAGCTATCGCGTACCTGCCTCAAGGAGTCAATGACTTTCTCCAGAGCCTCTGATGGTCACTCTTCCAAATACCATCATGTCCCCCGCGTCCCTGCTCTCTCCCACACATTCCCCACTGCCGTGTGGTGACATAGCCTCCTCATCCTCCACATGGGAAATCCTACCATCCTCACTGACTCCTCCCTCTCCCCCACGGCAAGCCCGTCATTGGAGTCTTTGGTCTCTACTTCCATACATACCTCTACGTGATCTGTTTCTCTCCACCCCGTCTATCACCTTAGCTTCTTGGGTCCCTAGACAACTTGTCTCCAACCTGTCCGCCCTCCTCCCTGAAGTTCAGTCTCTGGCTTCACCGCTATCATCTTCCAAAGGTAAAATCTGAAGGTGCCTCTTCCTTGCGTCCAACGTATCATCAGTTCCCCAAGTAAAACACCCATCCAAAGGGCCCCCCAGTAAAACACCCGTCCAAAGGGCCCCCCAGTAAAACACCCATCCAAAGGGCCCCCCAGTAAAACGCCCGTCCAACAGGGCCCCCCAGTAAAATGCCCATCCAAAGGGCCCCCGAGTAAAATGCCCGTCCAAAGGGCCCCCCAGTAAAACACCCATCCAAAGGGCCCCCCAGTAAAACACCCATCCAAAGGGCCCCCGAGTAAAATGCCCATCCAAAGGGCCCCCCAGTAAAACACCCATCCAAAGGGCCCCCCAGTAAAACGCCAGTCTAACAGGGCCTCCAGAGCTGCACAGGCCACTCCCCAACCTCATCTTTCACTGTGACTCCTTCTGCCTTGTCACACAGGCTACCCCTCCTCTTGGAGCCTTCCTTCACCCCTCTGTTCTCCACACTAACTCATTTTCAATTCTTGGGTTTCTGCCTGGGAGTCCGGGAAACCTTTGTACTTGAATCTTGGGATAAATGCCCGTCCACTGTATTCCAAATGATGCCTTGTTCATCTCCTGCAGCAGCAGGGAGCCCCATGTGGACAAAACCCATTGTGTCAGTGAACCATCTTGTGTCCCTCAAAGAGCTACACACAAAGGAGACACTCAAATATTTGCTGGATGATCGAAGTGGACGTTAGACGTTGACCTTCCCTGAGGAGCAATCTCCGGGAGATGGTACCAGTGGCACTGAGCTTCCCCGTGGCTAAGACAACCCCAGGTACCAGGAGTGCATCCAGGAGGGCAGCACGTACCTAGGATGGCCACCACCTCGTCATCCTGGATCACCTCCAGGGAGCCCGAGACCACGAAGCAGAGGCTGTCCACGCTCTCGCCAGCATGGTAAATGAGGTCCCCTGGGGCACAATGCACCGTCTGGAACTCCATGGCCAAGGCCCGCAGGCAGCCATCACTGGCCAGCCGGAAGGCAGGGTGCTCCTTGAACACCTTGCGGTTCAGATGCACACAGATGTCAGCGCGCATGTCCTTGGGGCAGATCTGCAGGACCTGGCCAGACGGGGAAGAGACAATGTGAGTGTCCACGCCATGGTGTCCCTCCCTCAGTACCCAACACCCATGGAGCCGGACTACACTCTTGTAGTCCACGGAGCCCCTGCCCTCATGGTACTTCCATTCCACGAGAAAGACAGACAGCATGTACAATCTAGAACAATCTGCTGAATGCTTAGTACATGGGTCTGAAAGTCGGGGCTGGGAACAGACTGGACAGGAGGAAGGCTTCTCTGAGGAGGTGGCCTTGTAACTGACACCTATGAATCAGTCAGTGTGAGCTGTGTGAAGGCGGAACATTTCAGCAGGACAAACACAAAGGCACTGTGGGCCTGAGTCACAGAGCACATGAATGAGCAGGAGCCAGGAGATGCTGAGGTGGGGCAGAGTGTGCTGGGCAGGCACAGCTGAGGACCACAATGCACACTGAGTGTGATGGGGGACAGCAGAGGATTGTGGGGAAGGGGACTGATGTGAGCTGAAGCCCAGGGTGAGGTTAGAGAGTAGACCCTTGGAAAGACTGGTAGGGACAGGGCAGCCAGGGAGAAGTGGGCACATTCAGATTACATCCACAAACGAGCCAATCAGTTAGACTGATCTATAAGATCTGTATACGTTTAAAGGGCACAGTGTGTGTGTTTCACATAATATGTGATCAAAGTAATCAACATATCATCTCCTTAAATATTTGTCACTTGTTCGTGTGGAGAAGCCGTCGACGCCCTTTTCTAGCTGTTGGGAAATACACAGTAAATTGGTTAACTGGTAGGAAATTACGGCTAGGAGGGATGTATTCTGGAGTTCTATAATGCTCCAGGGTAAACACTTGACTAAAAAGTGCATTTTGAATACAAATCCAACATGATTTTTTGATAGACTAAATATGGGGTAGATATTTACACAAGCCCTGCACAAGATCAAGTCAGTCAAAATTCCAGCACGGATGGGGGGCGGGCTCCTGAGTCCAACCCCCAACAGCTGAGGAGGTACTGGCAGTTGATGGCTGCTAAGGGAGGGACAGTCAGCTTTCTTTGGGGATGTGCCTGCTGGTAGGTTGCCCATGTCCCAGTGAATGACCCCACATGGTTAGCACTAATGGAATCAGTGGGCTATTAATAACTATTTTATATTATAATACAAAAGGACATGAAGTCAGGAGGGAACCAGTTAGTAGGTCCCAGGAAGAGTTGGAGGGAGGTAGCAGGCATGGATAATAAAAGACATTGTATACAAGTATGAAAATTTTCAAAGAATAAAATTATTTGTAAAAAATGAGCTATATGAAGCCAGATTTTTCTGAGTGCTTGCTATAGGCAGGCATGACTTAGCACATCATCCACTTAGTTAAAATTTATTCACCAAGCTCCCACAGTGTACCAAGTATCATTCTAGGCTCTGATAATGTGACAGTTTTTTAAAAGTGGACAGAAATCTCTGTTCCCATGAAATTTACCATCTAGCAGAAGGCAGCAAATGATAAGCAAAACAAATAAAATTTAGTAGCAATCACCTCGGAGACTGACACAAGGAAAGAGACACAATAAGGGGAGTTCTAACTTCACCTCAGAAAGTGTGATGTGCGTTCAGTAACTCCACCCTCACAGAAACCCACTATGTGCTATTAATTGTAACAGTTCCGGGGAAACTGAGGCACAGGGAAGCACTATAACTTGCCCAAAGTGGCACAGTTAAGAGATGGCAGAGCTGGGCTTGGAGGTGGGTAGCCTGATCACAGCCAGGTAGTTCTGCAAACTAATGGCTTGTGGTATTTTCCCTCTGTGGTACTGAAGACAGAGCCAGAGCTTTGCACATGCCAGGTAAGCACTCTACTGTCTGAGCTATGTCCCCAGCTCCAACTTCCACCATTTCAAGAGCAAACTGAGAACTGCAGGCCACGTGGATCTCATTTTCTAAACAATTGAAAACTTGCCCAGCTTTTCTGAGGGAGAAATACGTCTCCGGACTAAGAATTTGCCAGAAATCACTGCAGGGCTCCCTCTGCAGCAAGCATTAAGTTAACATTATAGGACACCATGGAGTGGACATTTCTAGAGAAACCAGAAGTGTTTCAAAATAACAGTGCCTTCCACTCTATTCTGTGACCCAAGCCGGTCCACTTGTGCCCACTCACCGGACACCTCTTCATGTGGTGCCGGGAACTCTGGGCCCTGCTCCTCTGCCTGGACATCAGCCTCCCTAGCTCAGTTCTCACCTTGCCTTTGATGACTTCACGCCTACCCACCTCCAACATGGAGGTGGAGCGGCAGGAAGAGGTCAAGTGACTGAAATCCTAGTCACTTCCTCCCCAAGTGACATAACTGCTCCATGCTTTGGTGTCTCCTGTAAAGTGTGTACTATCCACCTTGACTCCAAAGGTTAAAGGAGGTTGCATCTGCCTGGATGTGTCTCTGTTTCTGGGCACCTCTGCATTCCTGTTCTGGTTACAGGATGCCTAGGAAGTAAACCCCTCTCTGGGAGTGTGGACAGATGAAGGATAAAGGCACAAGGCCCCAGCTGAGTGCTCAGTAGGTACCTGACCCACAAGGCTCAAAACAAGATTCCTGAAGAATATAGATTTGAGGTTTTTCTCCACGTGGATACACACACACACACACACACACACACACACACAAATCATGTTCAAACAGTGCCCGGTGGCAAAACCAAGATTAATTCTCCAGGTGAGTTCACATTTAAATATTTGGTTCCCTGAGCTGGGCTCAGCTGGCAGAAGATGCTAGTGAATAAGGACTTGGCATAGAAGCAACAGATTCAGGGCACAGATCCCAGAGCCCATGGAGAGGACAGAGCAGGAGGGAGGGGGTCTGAAGAGGAGGAATCACAGTCAGAGGGGCATCTAGCTTCTCTGTAGTTCCTTCTGAAAGTTCTACTCTGGGGAGGGCAGATTCTCTCTCTCTCTCTCTCTCTCTCTCTCTCTCTCTCTCTCTCTCCCTCCCTCCCCCTCCCTCCCTCCCTCCCTCCCTGAGAAAGAGGCTCAGGCCTGAATCCCACAGCCTTCCTGGTCTATGCCCCTCACCCTTATCTTCCTGTGGGCCTCTCCTGTGAGCTGTTACTGTGGAGGAGCCTCCCTGGGCTGGGGAGAGTCGCAGAGTCAAGGTTAGGACACTCTGGCTGGGTATCACAGGGTCAGGCTCAGACTCTCTGAGCTGGGCCCCACAGACTGAAGGTCTTAGAGATCAGGTGACTTGGGGTTCAGTCCTGCCCTCAGCACCCGTTACACATGTGAGCTCCTTCAGACTTAGATCCTAGGGCTGAGTCTTCCCTTTATATGTGCAGGATTTCAAGAGATTCTACTTGCTATTGTGTGAAAATGTGTGATGCCTGGCACACGCCAGAGTGTAGTGCCTGTGGGTCCCCATTTAGTGTCATCATGAAGACTTCACAGTTCAGACAAAAGGCCCACAGAGGCCAGGTGTTCTCAAAGTTCATCTAACGTCGATGTGTTACAGACTAGGAACTGGAGCTCAGAAAACACTGTGTTCAATGTCACTGTCTAGTTCTGGAGGGCAGGGCGGCAAGAAGCAGGGGCCTCAGGGTGCGGTCTCTCCCCAGAAGCTACTGACACCTCTGCCAACTGGGCTTCCTGTGAGGTGCCACAGTTGGGTCTCTGGACCAGGACCTGGGGTAGATCCCAAAGCCCTCCAGGAAGGCAAGCGGGGGAGCCAGACAAGAAGGCAAATGCTGACTGTGCAGTGTCCCAGGCAGCTCTCCAGACAAAGGCATAAAGTGCCTGGGAAAAGGAGCTGCAGGGCAGAGATCAACGTTCTTTCTGCTCCGCCAGCTGCCAGGCACCCACAGAACTAACAGGTGTTTTTGCCAGAGAGGAGCAGAAACCACAGAGTTGGGTAGGAAGCTGGCAAAGCCGGGACCCAAGCACAGCCAGCCAACGCCCTGCCCGTTAGGGAAGTACGAACAACTTCATCTGGCTTCAGCCCGCTTCCTTCCAGTACCTGTTTTACATGTAGGAGGGAGGGCCTGCAAGATGGTTCAGTGGATAAAGGCACTTGCTGACAAACTTGAGAACCAGAGTTCAATCCCTGGGACCCACATAATGGAAGGAGTGAACCAGCTCAAGCAAGTTGTTCTCTGACCTCCTCAGGCCCACCATGGCACACATGTACACACACACACAAAATGCAATAAAAATTTTTTAAAGAGAGAGGAGAGACAGTAGGAAGAGCATAGCATAAACTCTGAAGCCAGATAAAAACTGGGCTCAAATCCTGGTGTTATCCTAGACCAGGGGACGTGAACAGAACACATCGGGTCTCTTGTCCCCATTGTTTAACAGATCTCACAACCCTGTCCTCCCGACGCTGATGTGAGACCCACACAAGGCCCAGCGGGCTGCAGTCATGCAGGACAGAAACAACAAACATCAGATCTTTCTGGTTTTCTCAGACAAGCTTTTGCCACGTAGCCCAGGAAGATCAGAAATTGAAAGCTATCCTCAGCTATAATAGTGAGTTCTAGGCCAGCCTGGGCTACACAAGACTATCTCAAAAAGCAAAACAGGAAAGAAGTAGAAAGAAAGGACAAAGAAAATTTATAAATAAACCTCTGTATCTTTTCTCTGTTCTTTCAAAAACCACCCAGATTACTTTATTGAAATGCATCTGAAATCATACGACTGTTAAGAGAACCAGGAGGGGTTTGCCACTCTGTATTACACAGGTGGATAGCAGATTCCCAGAGGGCACCTAACTTATCTCTGGCTAAATCAACTGATAACTAAGGCACAGTCTTCCACCTGTGCTGTCTACACATGTCTGAGGACAATTGTTATCTGGGTACTTACTGACCCTGTCCATCACCCTCTATGCTCAAGGGCCTGGGATGGTGACTAGGAGTCTGTTTTTTAAAATTTATTCATTTTTATTTATGTGTATGAGAGTTTTGCCTGCATGTATGTACCTTGTGCGTACAATGCCCACAGAGGCCAGAAAAGGGCATCAGATACCCTGGAACTGGAATTATTATGGTTGTGGGCTGCCATATGGGTGCTGGGAACAGAACTCGGGTCCTCTGCAATGACAGCCAGTGCTCTTAATTGCTGAGTCGTATCTCTAGCACCAGGAGTCCGTTTTCAATGACCACATCATGGATTCTTACCAGGTCTAAGAGGAGGCTGAACTGGGTAAGATGCGGCATTTAAGGGGAAGACTAAAAGTGATTGAGATAATTATACTTAATGCAGTATGTCTTTTAAAATTAAAATTCATTCTTAGAAAGTCAGGATGAACAAAATATCCACATTTTTAATAAAGACCAGTTTGGCAACTGGTGAGCCATCTGGGAACCTGGGGAGAAAGGAAGGATCAGTGCATCACTTCCCTCTTGCCAGAGCTCTGGTTCATATCATGGTCCAAGTTTGGGAAGCTGCCCCGGACAGGTGGACATCTGCGTCCTCTCTCCAGGGAGGCACACAATAATCCTTTGGAGGAGGGACCTGGGGATCTCACAGTAGGCACATTGGGTTTGGAGCCTCACTGCCCCAGGTAAAACCGGGGTACAGAAGTGCGGTCAAGCACCCCACATTACCTTCTCAGTGTCGATGCCCCTGGACATGGACCAGGTGGATACGATGTAGTCCATGACACGCTCGCTTAGCCCTTTGGGCACCTGGTAAAGCTTCAGGAAGTCCCGAACACTGTTGAGCATCTCATGGTATCTGTTGGTGTTGGCGTACATCTGCTGGAAAATGGTCGTCACATTCCCGAAGATGGTGGCGTAGAGAAGAGCTGGAGGGAAGGAGGAGCAGAAGAAACGTGAGTGACCCCTGAGCCAGTCTCCAGAGTGAGTGACTCCCTCAGAGGAGGCCCGTGGCCAGAGCTGGGCTCCCTGGTAGTGTCCAGACCTCAGGAGAACCTCACATCTCAAGCCAAGGAAAGAGACTCTCAAATCCTACAAGGAGGGTCAACGCAAGGTTAGGTGTGGACCAGGTGGAGGAGACCTGGTGTGGCTAGCACCTCAGACACATGTAGCAGAGGCAGACAGCCGTTTACACTGCCTGTCACAGGAAATTTGAGCTGTGCCTGAGGCCACCAGTCAAATGTATGCTGCTCTGGGCCTGGAGAGAAGGCTCAGTGGGTAAGAGCACGTACTGCTCTTGCAGAGGACCTGAACTCGGCTCCCATCACCCACGTTGGATGGTTCACAACCACCTGTAATTCCAGCTCCAGCAGATCTGAAGCCCTCTGCCCCCTTTGTGGGCACCTGCAGTCATGTACCCATACCCATACACAGACACACATGCACACATTATCAAAAATAAAAACGAAGTCCTCCAGGCCTGCCCCTTTTCACATTCACATAAGGGCTCCAATGCCCCCTGTCCTTACCATCTACACTGACATGTTATTGTCTGTCTTTCGTGTCACCTTCTATGATGGTTAGCTTTAACTGTCTCCGTGACATAACCTAGAATCACCCGCAGAGCCTCAATGAGAGACTGTCTATTTGGTGGGCCTGAAGGCATGTCTGTAGGGGATGTTTTGATTAAGCTGATTAATATGGGAAGATCCAGCACTCTGTGGTCAGTACTAGCCCCTAGGCAGGGGTCCCGACCGTGTACGAATGGACATGCTGAACCGGGTTCAAGCCAGCCGGCACGTGTGCATTCTTCTCTCTGCTTTTGACTGTGGCTGTGCTGTGACCAGCTGTTTGACGTTCTGCCTTGATTGTTCCACCATGACAAACTGTAGCCTGGAATTACAAGTGAAATGAAGCCCTTTATTTCCTAAGTTGCTTTTTGTCAAAGTGTCTTATCACAACAACAGACATGAAACTGTGGCGCCACCCCAGGGAGTGTGAACGCGGAGCTGGGAGTGTGAACGCGGAGCTGGGAGTGTGAACGCGGAGCTGGGAGTGTGAACGCGGAGCTGGGAGTGTGAACGCGGAGCTGGGAGTGTGAACGCGGAGCTCACTGTGGCTTTGATCGGCCATCTGCTTGGCCAACGATGTCGAGCACGTCCCACCTGGCAGCCATTGTACGTCTTCTCTAGACAAATGGTCATTCAAGAGTTTTCCCAATCATATTGTTTGATCTATCTATCTATCATCTATCTATTTATCATCTATCTATCTATCTATCATCTATCTATTTATCATCTATCTATCTATCTATCTATCTATCATCTATCTATCTATCATCTATCTATCTATCTATCTATCATCTATCTATCTATTCATCTATCTATCTATCTATCATCTATCTATTTATCTATCATCTATCTATCTATCTATCTATCTATCATCTATCTATCTATCATCTATCTATCATTTATTATTTTCTTTCAGTGTCTGAGGCAGGAAAACAAAGCTGCCCACTCATAGCAGTCCTGACAATGATCTTCAAGGGCTGATCTTGGCCTCCAGACCTGGCTGAGGAGGAAAGGGATCCCACAGCTCAATGTGAGAGGCTCCCATTTATTATTTTATGTGTATGAGTGTGTTGCCTGCATATGTAAGGGTACCATGTCGTGCAATGCCTGCAAAAGTCAGAGGAGGGCATGGGATTCCCCTGGAACTGGAGTTACAGACAGTTGTTAGCCATCATGTAGGTGTTGGGAATTGAACCCAGGTCTTCTGCAAGAACAGCCAGTGCTCTTAATTGCTGAGCCATCTCTCCAGCCCATCTGATCTTTTCATAACTAAATTGCAAGAATTCTTTATATATTTGAGTACAGACTTGTTATCAGACATGGATTCTGCAAATACTTTCCTCACGTGTATTATCTTTATTTTTAAACATTTAAAAAATATTTATTACTTTTATTTTATGTGTATGAGTGTATTTATTGCCTGCATGTATGTAAGTGCACCCATGTCATGCAGTGCCTCTGGAGGTCAGAAGGGGGTGTTGGATCCCCTGGAACTGGAGTTAGGACAGTTGTGCTGGGAATTGAACCCAGGTCCTCTGCAAGAGCAACCAGTGCTTTAACCACTGAGCCATTTCTCCAGCCCATCTTTATATTTTTAAAGATTTTTGTCTGTGTGCGTGTATATACACATGCATGTGTGTGTGTCTGTGTGCGGTGGTCAGAGATCCTCAAACACCCTCAGTTGTTCACCTTGTTTTTGAGACAGTCTCTGACTGACCCTGGTGATCACTGATTTGATTAGAGTGACTGGCCAGGAAGTCCCAGGGTCCTCCTGTCTCTACTTCTCAGCACTGGGGTTGTGGGCTCTGCTGTGCACAGCTTTTACACAGACGCTGGGGATCCAAGCTTGGGCAGTAAGTGCCACACCCACTGAGCCGTCTTCCCAGTCCCTTCTTTCTTCTTTTACACCATCATCTGCAGCACAGAAGATTTTACTCTGATGTAATTTGTCTTTTTTTCTTTTTAACTGACTTATTAAGCAAGCTTAGTTTGTTTATATGTTACTCTGTGTATAACTATTGCATTATTCCTTTATTTTTAAAAAGGCAAATATTTTATTAAAAATTCTAGTTATTTAAGGAATAACTAGAGTTTACAGGAAGTTGGAAGATTGTACAGGGATTCCAGGCACCTTCACATCGTTTCCCTCAGTTCTACACCTTCCATGAGGAGCACAGGTGTGAAGCCAGAAGGCAGGCATTGCCAGAGTATACGTGCTGCCTGGTGCCACTCAATCATATGGTACATTTACATACCCAGTGCTGTGTTCAAAATGTGGGACTATTTAGTCACCAGAGAATGCCCTCACGCAAGGCTTTATAGCCACATTCCTTCCCCAGTAACCGTACATCAATTTTCTTTCCTGTAATTATATCATTTCTTAAAATGTTATATAAATGGAATTGCACAGTGTGTGACATTTCGAGGATGACTTTTTTACTCAGTGAGATGATCGTAAGGCGAATCCAAGCTCTTGCACATGTCAATGATGTTAACTGATGAGTACCGCATCTCTGCATCTCTGTGCCACAATCACTTCTTTCCATCTTATTCAGGCTTAGAAGACAGACTAAGGGATAAAAAGCATAAAAAAGGACGCACGGTGCTTGAGGTCAGGGAAGGACTGAAGACACAAACCCACTTGATAGGAACTGCACACACGCCAGGAAGAGTCAAAAGCTGCGCTGCGCGGACCTGAGGTTTTGTAGCCTAGCTGGCCCCACTTGCTGTTCACGCTCTGCTTCCTGACTGTGCGTGAGATATGGATGTGCTATGGTACAGTGCTGGGCCCACTGGGTGTGGTGTGATACAGTGCTGGGCCCACTGGAGCCTCGAGCTCCCACTACCAGTCCTTCCCCAAGAACCGTGAACCTAAAACAAACCCTCCCTCCCTCGTGTTGTTCCTTGTCCTGTATTTTGTTGCAGTAATAATACAGTCCGCTTAATTTTTTATCAAATTTTGCAAATGTCATATTTTGATCATACTTAGAACCCCCTGCCCCATCTGCACCCCCTCCTTAATAACCCCAGCCCAATTTAATGCACTTTGTCATTGATGACGGCATGCATAAGACCCACATGAGCTCAAGCCAGGCAAAATTGCAGCATAAGTGGGGAGGTGGGGAAGAACCCCACCTTAGCTGAGGAGCTGTGGGCAAACGATGTCTTCTGGGAGAGGGAGAGACAGTTTTCTTTAAGGGTGTGACTCTGGGTAGGGTAGCCAGGCTCCAGTGGGTAGACCATACCAAAGGGCATTTGGGGACACAAATTTGACTCAGTGGGCCTTAATTCATACAGCAGAGTACAGTGCCCTTGTTTATGATGGGGAGAGGTAGCTGTCCCATTGCAGGATGCTAGGAGGAGTCAGTGAATAACACAGGCCAGGGGTTGTGCTGATGGGACCAGCTCCACAAGAAATCACAGTCATTCTTTCTGAACCACCCACCACCAGTGTTCATTCACATCTAAACCTCAGTCACCCCAGATTCTGGCCCCGGCTCTTGGCCGTGCTGGGTGTACCCTCCTGTGGTCACTGGCCTGTGTTTTTCCTTACATGTTCTGGTGTGCGGAAATTATGATAGAGTATTTTCAGGGGCATCTTCCTTTCCGTACTATAGTTGCTTAATAAATGCTGTTGATAAATGAAATGGCTGTCTGTGAGATTAGTTTTGTGTGCGCAACTGGACCAACAGTACCGTGTTACCTCAGTCTTGGGAAGGAGTGCAGATTTTCACACTTGCCCTAGAGCTCCTAGATCTTTGGGAAGGAAGGAGGCTCAGGAGTTTTTTCCAAACTCTTCAGGTGACTTTGGTGGGGAGGGTGTTAAGTTTGAGCTCTGCTCTGTGCACACCAGTCCTCAATGTTTCACTAGTGAGCTGTGAGTGTAATGTTCCACTCCAAGTAAGAAGTTGGGCAGAGGGAAGAGAAGGTCCTGCACTACAGTGAGGGGCATGAGGGGCCTCAGCTAACCTCACTCCACCGGACCCAACAAAACAGCAACACGGTTCAGGGAGGAGACGTGACGCCACGCGCAGGCAGGACTTCTATGACCAAGACAAGCGGATGGACTCCTCTGTACCCAGCTCTGAACCGACTGCCAGCGCTAGCCTCATGACATCTCTACCTCCTCAGTCATGGCCCCAGGCTCAGGAAGAAGTCCCAAGATGGAGAACATAAAACACACCTACGTTTCCCTATTTATAACAAGAAAAGCCTGAAAACTCTCATCTAATATTGTGCTAAATATATCTCAAATTCCTACATGATTCTGCTGTGTTGGGGAATGTCACTTAACAAGCGCAGTTCTAACTGGGGAGACAGAAGGTCATTTCCAGATACTTCTCATCTATCGAATGAAC